GAAGCCGTGACCCAGCTCGCACAGTTTCTTCCCCCAAAAGCAGGTGCCTGCTGTGGCTAGTCAAGTCAGATTAGCGACCAAGCCCTTTCCATACAGGATCTCAGATTGCCTCAGGCCCTTTGTATAACCTATGAAGGACCGAAAGTGTCAGTGCTTCTCATCTACAACAGCTCTAACAGGGTAATGCAAAACCAAAATGCACAACACAGAAAAGGCAAGCGCTGGAACCTACAACGGACAAATATTTGTTCTCTCTTAGAGGACTTGCAGGACAGGAGCCCTGCTGCAGACACAAAGAATAGTGTGCTCTAGCACTCCTTTCCAAAAACATCACCTAAAGTCGCTTAAATATTACAGATGATTTGGCATCAGAGTTCAGAGCAACAGTGCCAGTACAGGGCATAAGCTAGAAAGATGATTCCACATGACAAAGTTTTCACATCATCTCAGGCTACAAAGTGCTGCAGCTTCTTTTGGGACCGAGGCTGGCACTGCTCCGAAGACATTTACTCACACCCGGTCAGCCCCTGCCCACCCCACACATACAAGCAAGTTGAGCTGCAAGTTGAGCAGGCAGCTTCACCCGTACCTCACTCCACAAGCCCAGCACGCCATCTGTGCCAGCTAAGATGTATGGCTTCTCTCAGATCACAGGTCAGTGAGAGGGTAAGTCTGTAGGCCCAGCAGATCTCATTTCACTGCCCCCCTCTGCTCTCTCGGACGTAAAGAGCCAAGGTCTTCCTGATCTGCCTTAGAGAGGATGGTGCTTCTCCTTCTTTATTTACCACAGATACCAAAAAAGCCAGAGAAGCCTTCCTTCTCCTCCTCTGCACTGGAGGAGAGCATAGGTATCGTATGGCAGGATGAAAGTTTAGAACAAAGAAATCCCCTCCCCAGAGAAAAAAATAATTGCTAGGGCCAAACTGTGCAACGGTCTCAATTCAGTCACTTAAAAGTGCTTGTCAAGATCTGCTCTGCCTCCAAGGCTCCTATAGTCACTACCCTGGTCACCTGAGCACCCGCCAAGGGCAGGCAAAGCCACACATCTAATGTAAACGAGCAAGCACAACACACACACACACACACAAGCACACACTTAAAGCCATCTGGGCCTCCTCTGCACATCACAAAGCAGCAGTAAAGGTTTCAAAGCCCATTTTAGTCCTTTGCATCTCTCCTTCACAGATGACTCAAAAGCAGGGCTAGGAAGCTCTTTGTACATTCAACTGTAAAATACAACGTGAGGAAGAGGAGCGAGACAACTCTCCTGATTGTTGCTACTGCCTACAGCAAGTTTTGGTACAGATATCCTCTCTTATAGGCACTCAGTGGGTAAAACGTAGCCACAACAAACTTGCCATCAAAAATCTTTCCAGTCAGCATTTTTTGGGCAGCTTTGGAATCACCAGCGTTTGCATATTCAACAAAGACCTGAAAGAGAGAGAGGAGAAACAGCACTTCCACTGCAGCATGCCGTCCGCTCCCTCCCACTTCTGCAACGCCCATCACTGGGGGGAAATAGTTTCTGATCAAATCTTTTCCCTCCATTCTTGGTTGAGAACAGAGCTGTGGAGCTAAAAAGAAGCAGCTGCGCCTCTGCACTGGAATTTCACTTCCTGCTCCCCTTTTCTAGGGCTGGTGCATTTGGAAAGATGGGAGAAAGCACGATGATGCTCTACGGCTCCGCACTTCCTCTCCCACCCACTGCTTTGTCCTCTTCTCTCGTTCCCCAGCTCCTCTTCTAAAGCTGTTCGGGATCCTCCCAGGTTAGGGAACCTTATGTTATGAGGGAAGGAACCTGTGCTGTCTCTCAAGGTAAGCAGCTATTTTTAGCACTGTCATCATCCAAGAGATTTAAGTTGAGAAGCAGTGCTGGGGCACATGGAGCATATATGGGAATCCACAGCCTCTTCCCTCCACTCACTCACTCACTTGGCCTTTACCAGGATTCTCCTTTGGAATAAGCAAGGAAACCACTGGACCATATTTCTGACACTCCTCTCTTATGTCTTCCAGGATATCTGAGAAAAGAAAGAGCTGGTTCTTTTACTTTGCAAACTGAAATGAGGTCAGAAGAAAACCAAGGCGGATGAACCCATCAACAACATTTAGTCAACATATTTTTTTTCCCTCTCAGTTTAAGATAAATAATCCAGAGATGTCACAGAGAAACTAACACTGCTTAACAGCCAAACCACGAGACAAAGTATCCAAAGTGAGGCCCAGGAACATAGACCTGCAGGGCAGTGAATCCTTCTGAGAATGGGGCTTGGAGCACATAGCCAGTGCTTTTCCTTGCACACACAAACCTCAGCCTTCCAGTAGCTAAAACATTCAAGATTTGTTAGCAGGTATTTTCTTCACGGCACTTGGAGGAGGGGAACCAAAGGAGCTGCTACAAACCCTTCTTTGTGTGAGCAGAACTCAGACTTTTAAACTCATATCCCCAGAGTAAGCTCTGTAGTTTTTGCCACTTACTTCGGTTTGAGAGCAAGTAGAAATGCAAGTTCCACAAACATGCCTTGCCACCTACCATGTATAGTTTTGCTACAACTCAAGAACTCAAACAAGTTCTTTCAGTTCTCTGTCGAGATCTTGGATAAGCCAATTAGCACACTTTTGAGGATTCCGGCTGTTGGGCTCCACAGCGTCCTGGCCACGTCTAGCAGAAGCTCAGAGCCACAACCACATAAGGAGGTTTGTGGGCATTTAACCAAAGAAGACAATCAAAGAAACCTTTTTTTAATCTTGCACCCCCAAAGAATTCGCTACAAACTCTGCTTTCTATCTCACTCTTTTAGTTCCAGTCTAGCCTCTGTTGGCACAGTTCACCCCCACCTCAGCTGAGAAGCTCCTTGCTTGCTATTTTTGCACCTACTAAACTGCTCTTCCACTTGCTCTCATATCCCCAAATCCAAACTAAACAGCTTCTAAGACAACATTGCTATATTGGAATTGTATGGCATACACCAACCTTCATATTCTTCTTCACTCTGTAGAGAAGCGTCACTTAGAATATTTAGCAGCCTCAGCACAGGTGTGGGGAGCATCACCAGATCTTCGATATGGGGAGCTGAGTGACACCCACAAAGTTAGAGGGGGAAAAAAAAGGAAACAAAGTCCAAAGGATCAATAAAACAGGGAGCAGACTCGATATGTCATCTTATCCTACACAGGCACCTACTGTTCTCTGCAGTACAGTTTTGCTTCTCTCCACTATTACCTGTGTTTACAGCTTTTATCCACCCTGTCTCCAACTGAATATTGTGCACCAAAACTCCCAGAAGATTTGGTGCGTTCTGCAATAACACTGAGGTCAGCACCTGAAAGTGCCTTCAAAGCTACAAAGCTAGCAGCAATTAAGACCGGAATTATGGCTGCTTAGCTGAGATTTAGAAGCTGATGCATCTGTCAAGGGCTAAGATAGTTAGCAACCTGCCCCTCTTAAATACGGAGATGCGAGGAGATGAAAAGAGAACTACTCTGCAACCTGTGTCTCCTGTTACTGCAGGATTCCCACCTGGTGGTACCACACAAACTGAAAACAGGCTGACCAGCTTCCATGCCTCCAGTTCTTAAACTATACTAGGGCACAAGCCTCAGCTCTCTCTAGGATATCTCCTACTTGTTCCCTAAATACCACGTGAAACAAGAGCCCCTCCAAAATCCAACTGCAACTGTCTGTTGCAAAGACCATCATGTCATCTTGGGACAGAAAAAAGGGAAAACGATTTAACTTCTTAAACAATGCAGTAGTATAGAATAGGGTACGGCCACAAGAGGGAGGTGGATGAGCAGTGAGCCTGCCAACAACTTTGTACGAGCAGAAATAAAGCCTTCAGAAATAAAGCCTTCGCCATGGGTCCTCTGGCCCTAGGAAACAGGCAGCTCATGGACAACTTAAAATAACGTTGCATGCATCCTACTGTGGAACTAAGGAACAGTTAAGGAGGGCAGACTAGTGCCAAACTACGAGAATCACTTTTTGTGAGGGAAGCTGCAGAACTTCTAGAAACCCAAAGCGGCAAAAGGTAGACAGTGTCACTTCTCCAAGGACAAAAGCTTGATTTCATGTTCTCAAAAGGGACCAGCAGGCCAGCTGTGAATTTAAGATCTGGGAGACTGACTTACAGTACTTCAAGAGCGTTAACGTGTTTTTATTGGTATCTGCAAGCTACAATAGCAGAACACAAAAGCAGTACCTTATAGTTCTCATATTTGACAGTTCTGCTCGAGATCTGGTGCTCACGGATTGCTCCTTTAAGACAAACATGTGCAATCTGCACTCCCAAGGCCAGTTTCAGGGACAAGAGTCCAAGAGGGAAAGTAAAAAACACAACGGAGACGTTTTAGCTCCATGGAGCAACTCATTACTGTGCATAGGTCCAGGCAACCCTCTTCCTAGGTACAGCCCTTGACACCGTTTTTCTGAAGAGAAAAATAACTGAATAATGCCACATATTCCCTGAAGATCAGTTCAGGCAGGGAGACGGGGGAAAGAGAAGGGAAGAAATGTCTCCAACTTGAGCCTTCTGACTAGCTCTGTAAAGATAGAGGGTGATTATTTCCTTGGAAATACTTTTCCAAGCTAAGCACACAACACCCTATCAAAAAGCTGGCATCTCTGCTAGCCTCAGACAAAAGAAAGGGACTTCGTAGTGCAAAAGGAGAGGGCAGGGAAACCCATAAGTTTTAAATCTCCTTCTCTCTGACATGGAAGACTCCCTATGAAAAGCTTGGAGGATGAAGGACCTTATCAGCCTAGACTATGCCAGATAGCACTCAGGGCCAGCTCTTTGGGGAAGGAGCCGCATTCAGATAAACAGGCAGGTTCCAGCTGCAAGCGAACCTTTGTGACCGTTCTTCCACGGGACGGCTGGCAACCAAGGAACAACATCAGAAGAACATGGGATTGAAAGAACACTTAACTGTTGTCTCATCGGTCTTATAAGGGGCCCCTTCTGCTGAAGTGGGAAAATCTGTTCTTCATTTCATGTGCCCCCTTTTTTTTTTTTTTTTTTTTTTTAGGGAAAGGAGATAAACACCTAGCACTCAGAGCTACTTGTTCTTCCCACAGCCAAGTGAGAAATACATTTCCTGCAATTCCCTTCTGTCCTAGGAGGTACTTCTGCCTCGTGTCTCTGCTCCTACTCAAAAGTTCCGGGTGGTATCGACCACGCTCACAACAAAAACGGCGGCAGCCTCCAAGCAGCTCAGGGAAGAAGCTGATGATCTGGAAAGCCAACATCTGGCTGTAAATGACAAGGAAAGCCATTCTCGGCTGCCTTCGTTCTAAAATAGACCAACTGTATCCACGAGAAAGGTAACGACAGAGATCGTTTTTCGACTTCCTAGGAAAGCAACAGTAAATGCCTCTTTGTGCAGACAAGCTGTCAGTACAAGTTTGGCAAAGAAGAGAACTAGCAACTAGGAAAAACTGAAGCTGTTGTATAAAGTTGTATAGCACTAACCACAGAAGCACCTTCCTAGTACAAACAGGTACAGTTAAAGGGCTGTGTGTTTAAAACTAGACCAGAGAGCCCTGCCAACATACTCTTCCCTCTACTCTAAAGCAGCATTGGCTGCAAGGTTCATGGAAGGTGGCTTTGATTACAACAGTCCCAGTTTCTGAGATGCAGGAGAAGTTTCCCTGCAGAAGAAAACAAGGATGAGTTTGTTACCTTTGCCAAATACACACAAATGTCAACATCTTGATGCAGCCTCAGAAAAGGCAATAGCTAACCTTCACTGTAAGGTATATCAAGCAGCTTACGAAAAGCATGGCTGAGATTCAAGAGAGAACTCTAGTCCAGCTAGAAGCTGGATGCCTTTAGCATTGATTTATGCTGCAGAAGAGCTCTTCACTGCTGTTCTTGAAAGCAGAGAAGCTCTGGAGGATGTTACTGTTTTGCTTTTGGAACAGAAAACCAAGAGGGACCTAAGGAGCATGGTCCCAGCCCATCTCCTGCGGCCAGCCTGCAACTCGTACGGAGAGTGTTGGGGAAACACCATGATCTTCCTCCGCTGCAGAGGAAGCGACAGATCAAAGAGAAGGCAGCGACATTAGAGGGACTGCAAGCATTTGTGACTTGCCACATTGACATCAGAAGAGGAAGGCCCTGACCTCCAAGCCACTGCAAAATTAGGCTTGCCACCCCCTTTGCCAGGCCCCAAAACAGCCTCCAACACCGTGGGAATGCCCTGGCATTGCCCAGCTTGCCAAAGCGGAGGCAGCAGCAGATGCCACCATCAGAGACTGCCTTAGTCGATCACCTTCATGGCTTCTAAGCCAGGATACTCTTAGCATAAGAAAAGCCATCAGCCTACCCTAGATAGCACTGCACTCTTCAAAAGCTCCTCAGCAGACACAGTATTAGGTAAGTACCTTACCACTTCTGTCTCCTCAGCAGAGCAGTGCTGTCAATGTACTCTGGTTGTTTGACCTGAGCAGAATTTACTGGCAGTCCAACCAGGAGAGCGTCAGCCCACATGGCTATAGAGACAGGACAGCACTGAGAGCACCTGAAACGGTCTGACGCCTCCCTGCTGTGGGACCACAGCAGGGCCGACAAGTGCCATAAAGTACAAGAAAGCAGCAATGAGGATAGAACCCAAAACACCACAGCCTAATTGCACCCCTGCGCGGCCTGCTGTACATGCTGAGAAAGCTGCGGTCAGGGATCACAGGCACGACTTACCAAAAGGAATGCTGAAGAACGGGCTGCATAAAGCCTTCTCAGCGGAGGCTCGCTTTCCTTGGTCACAATGAAGCATGCTGAAAGAGAAGAGACACCCTTATGTTCTTACATGCGACACTCGTGCGTCCGCAAATTCAAATCAGGCTAGAAGCCAGTACAGAGGAATTGCCTATCTTTAGGGTGCTTAAGATACAAGGAGAACAGTCAGAAGCAAATCTTTCAATTCTGAGCTGCAAGCACCCAAGAAGGACCCCTTTGAAGTGATTTGGGTAAACAATGCAGTAGGTTTTCATTCTAGATGCCCTTCAGCACCAAGTTTTGAAAGTTGCTGACTCATAAGTTTACAAAACGCACAACATGTTCCAGCTGCACCTGTCCAGAACGTTCAACCCATGTCTCAGACACACATGCAGAGTCTCATGAAAGCAATGACACTCTAGAGCTCCCACACCTTTTCGCAAACGGGATTCGAAGCAGCTAACAGCCCAGCACTTTCCTGAGAACTTCAACTCAGCCTTAAATACCAGTGGCTCCAGATGCCTTTTGTGCTGAGTTTTGTCCTCCTTCACTCTGCAGCTTCAAACAGACCACTGAGCAGGACAGCAACACCAAACCCCTCTACAGACCTCTCAGTTGGGAGCCGCATTTGAATCGTGACAACAGTGGAGAAACAGCACCGTCTGTCCTCCTCCCTGGTTTCTGACAACACTCCTCTAAGCGAGAAAAATCTTCACCGTACCCTTATTTTCCCAGTTTTCCCCAAATACAATCTCAGTCATAGAAAGAGCAAAGCACTAACACACCAAATAGTGAACATTATGACTGATATTCTCTATGTGCTTACTCTTAACTGTGCCAACCCCAGAAGAGCTGAAGCATCTCTGTTAAGGCTCCCGCTTTTTACCAGCACAGTGGCAGGGAGGTTTTAGAAACCAGAGCGTAAGCTGCGGGCTCCAAGTTACCAAAAGCAAGGCGCAAGGCTTTCTGAGCATAAGGGTACACCACTAAGGAACACTTAGTAAATGTTTAAGGTACCTTTTGATAAGGTCTCTGAGGTGATAAGCTGGAATGGCTGAATTAACCACCCCTTCACTGGCAAAAATGCGATCAATGATGGCAGAACTGTTTGTCTGGAAAGAAAAAGAAGCAGAGCTTAGGAGGGAAAGAAAATAATAGTGCAAAGCTTGCTGTAATGTCACAGTACTAGAGCCCTCCTCATCCACCTCAGAAAGTGACGCCTATCCCCCTTCTCCCAGCACCAGCTTTATATGAGATATCCCTGATGCTCCAGCCTCACACGTTCAACCACCAGGTGACCACATCAGATGAAGTCTTCCCATTTGTCTATACAAAAGATGGAAAGTTTCATGTGCAGGCACGTTTGTTCGTACCATGTATATAACGATGCTGAAAGGATACTTTTAGTGGGAAGGGGAGCATGACATACAAATTCATTCAGAGAGGAGAGGACAGAATCAGGCTCCAGACTTATGACAGAACCTTCCTCTTGTTTTCTGAGGATATTCACTTACGAGAAAACCCCCAAGTTGGAGCTAACGTTAGACTAAACTGAGAGCGAGTCATTGCTCTGCCATTGTGCTGCTAAACTAGCTGGCAGTCACCAGCAATCTATTTCATTGTTCTTTCTGGGCCACACCACAACCAGCACAACCCAGATTACGAGTCTCGGCAAGCCCTAGGCTCGAAACACAGAATCCTGGAGTCGTACGATTTCACTAATGAGAACGTACGCAGTGTTCACACATGCCAGTAGCACAGGGCAAGGGAGTCTCTTAAGGCTCCGAAAACTTAATTCCCAAGACAATGAAATAGAGAAACCTCCTGGAAATACCAGTTTCCAGGTGCTACCTCACGAACCCGGGTAAAAAGCAGGAAGCACAAGGACTTGTTTGGTGGAAGCACAAACGCCAGCAGCAGTTCTCACTCACCTTCCATTCCTGAGATTGGACTGTATGTTTCAGTTTCATTCCTGAGAACATTTCCAGTAAAACGATTCCCAGACTCCACAGATCCACAGCAGAAGTACACTCCGTTTCACTCTGGAGCCCTGCCTGTGCCAGGCAGTTCTGCAGTTCTGCCTCTGGAGCCCGATACCCGTCTGTTTGAATATATTTCACATCCTATGGAAGATAAAACAAACACAAGAAGTTAGTTTTCCAGACGCAGGTTCTCTGCTCCATCCTTACATCAGTTTAGAGGCCTTTCCAAATGGGTCAACTAAATACTATTGCTAAATTGACAGAGAGCATTATATAGCCAGTCGTGTTAGACAGGTAGTTCAACTTACTAAACTGCTGTGCTGACGAGGAAAAAAACCCAAAGCAGTCTAGAAGAGGAAACACCTCCCAGCAACATAGTAGGAATGCCACTGACATCCAGTCTCTTTGGTAGAAGGCACTGGTGGGAGGAAAGAGGCCTAATATAAATACTGAACCTCACTGCAAGCTGGCCCATTAACCTCTCTAAGTGCGGAGGACATGGAAGTTTCAGGATAAGGGCTGAACACCTGCAACGTGCTCCCTAAACCAACTGAACCAACACAGCTTAACCTGAATACTGAGGACCAGTAACTGCTTCCATTATTCAAGTACTGGTGTTCTCTAGAAAAAAAAAATTAAAAGAACAAGGCAGGCATCTAACACTTAGACAAGGAAATTGCCAAAGGCGCTTCCCATGCACCTCTTTCTTCCCCTGGCTTGCAGTCAGAAGCACTGTAGCAATCAATACCTGCTTAGCTGCTGGGGCTAGAGAGAGTAAAATACCCCCACGCTGGCTGGTTAAAAGAAAATGGGTAAATCACAGAAGTGTTGGTTGGAAGGGCTGCTCTGAATGTCTCCAGACCAACCTTCTGCTCAGAGCCACAACTACATCAGATCAGCTACGGCTCTGTCTGGCTGAGTGTTGTGAACCTCCAACGATAAACTGCACACCACTTTTTTTTAACATAGGAGGGCCTGTTGTAAAACATTGTTAATCCGAGTACGCAAGTCTGCTTTCTGGATAAAGCACAGGACTGAGAATCCTTACACTGGGAATATATTTAAACCAAAGTTATCTGGTTCTTTCACTTCTACGAAAGTAAAGTTTCCAAAAGGCATTTTCAGGCAACAAAGCCAGAAGTGTTTTATAAACTTAAACAAAAAAAAAAACCCAACAAACAGATTGCTCACAAGGGTCCCTCCACCTATCAGGAGAGGGAGCAATTTAGACAGCAACGAACACTGAGAGACAGAGAAAACACCATGGTCAATGCCACTAGCAAAAACAGGGAAATGAAATTTCACTCCTATCATCTGAAGTATTTTGAAACATTTATGTGGCTGAGACCTTGCTCTGCGTAACACCTATGCTCTGTTAAACAGTAACAGCAGGAAAAGTTACGCAAGGAAAAGCTGAGGCAGAGTTGTCACAAATGCAAGTAATGTGGTCTTGACTCAGATAAGGAAACCATGCATGCGTGCTGCTATACAAGGGAGTGCGGGCAGGGTCAGAAGGTTCATCCATCCAGCTGGGATGTTCCTAAGAATGGGCAGAGGAAATCCAGCCTAAAGAAAGCAGTTGCAAAGAAACTGCAGAAGCAAATAAAACACAAGATCATCTGTTAGAGGAGGAAACTCACAGAGCAATCAGCAACATACTTTTTTTTTCTTTAGGCCTGTATCTGCATCAGACACAGGACACCAGGAGAGTGTTTTTTGCTGATAGACAGCAACAAATTGCCAGCCCGAAACAGTGTTTGGCCAAAAACGTGGGAGAACCGGACAACATGGAGGAGTTTAAGAAGTTCACATGTTAAAATCAGCTACTGTATAAAAGAATTCAGAGATAGACCACCCACGCAATCCTCTAATATTCACAGATCAGTGTGCTTCGCTGTCAATACCAGGTAAACCAGTGGCAAAATAGGAATGTAAAGCCTCTAGATGAGTAGGGTGCAATAGGGACAACCCAGAAGAATGCCTGCAAAGAACAATTGTTTACTAGACTCCTTACCACACATCACCTAGTGAACAGAGGCAAATTTGCTAAGAGGCTATCAAAAAGTCTTACTGATACCCCCCCACAGACTGTTTCTGGGGGAGAGGGAGGGATGAAAGGAAATTTTACCAAGCTGACAACAGATTGTCCTGAGGTTCTCTGTAGAAAGGTGAGGAGCCATTGCTTTCAAAGGCCATGGAAAAAAGGGCAAGGACAAACTTTACAAAAAGAAGTATCGGTCTCAACTAAAAGCGACAGCATGAAAAGGGTCTAAAAGCTCAGCAAACAGGAAAAGCAGAGAGCAGAACAGGCAAAGACTTGTCTATATCTGTAAAGAAAGAATGGACACTGCCTACCACTGCCAGAATACGAGCTTTGGTCAACACAACTGCACAGAAGAGGAACACACAGAGCTACTAAAAAAGGGAAGCTACTGAAGAGAGGATGAAACTACAGAGAAATACAGAGACAACGCCAGAGATAATGCTATTAACTAGTGAGGTGATGGCAAAGCCTAGATTACTAATACATAAGATAAGGCTTGGTAAAAGGAAATCCTGTAGATCTGGGTGCTCCTATTTGTCCAGCCACAGAAAAACCAGCAAACTTTGCCAGAAGCTGCAAGACAATACTTTTTCATTGTCTCACTGACCGTGAGATAAAGCCCTGGATAAATTCACAGTATACTTTTTCATTGTCTCACTGACCGTGGAGTTCACAGACCTGGATATATCACAAAGGCTAAGACATCAACAGGAACCAAAGGCATGCAAGGAGAACGGAAACATGAGTTTTAAGGGCCAAACAACATTTTAGCTTTCCAGGAAACCCTTAGCATCAACTCAGCTGCTATTCTAATCAGGTCATGTGGATTCCTATGCTACCACCCACAGGAACGCCAGTTCAGGTCTGATCCTTGGAAAACAGTCCCCATCCCTATTTCCTACAGCCAACCTGACGCAACCCGAGTTCTCCTCCCACCTGATACACATTTGCTTAGCAGCACTGAGCTGGAAGCAGCACAGATCTGCGCAGTTTAACACAAACAGAGCCAACTGCTTCAAGAGCAGCACGTTCCAAACCTGATTTCCCTCTTTGAAGCTAAGTCCAAAGTCAATGAGCTTAAAACACTCCTCCTCTGCGCTCCACAGGATGTTGCGTGGCTTGAGGTCTGCATGCACATAGCCTTTATGGTGCAGAAAAGCCAGGGCTTCGAGGACGTCTCGGGCACAGTGCTGGATCATCCACATGGAGCAGCCCTGGTTGCTGGAATGCAGTAGCAGTTCTGACACGCTGATGTCCAGCAGCTCCAGGAGGAGACAGCGAGACGGGCCATTCACAGAGTAGTGGTTGGTGAACACACCGTACAGTGTCACTACGGCGAGAAACATTGCCAGGCATTGGTAACATGCAATGGCCACGGTCAGCCCACATCATTCCTCTCTGTGAATGCCCAGAAGACTTCAAAAGCTGCAAGAGGCAGCTCATCTGTTACACAGGCTGTGATCTCACAGATCCAGAGAGCAAAACAACTTTAGAGGGAAGCAGCAAGGGAAAATCATTGCCTCTCTGTGCTTCAGAGGGTGGGCAGGTCTCAACACACCCCACAAGGCTCTGCTAAAGCTAAGGGGAAGGGTGTTCCTACTCAAGATGAACAATCCCTGGGACGTGGACAGCAGATTTACGAACCTATGGGACCCTGGGAAAGTCACAGGGGACCTCCTGCCATAGGTCCCCACAGGTACAGCCAAGGTAGCACTGCTTTCTTCGGGTCATCCTTCCCTCTTTCTGTGTCACATCTAGCACACTGGAAACCTCAGCTCCATCTGAGTCTCCAGATGCATTAGGGCACCGAGAAGCATTTTAGGCTGACAAAAATCAGCACCAGGTGACTCCATGGGCTGCCAGGAACAGCCTGGGGGCTCCTGCCAGAGGCACGCTCCCTGCCGCTGCCCCGTTTGTGGCATGGCTCTTGCAGGGGCGGCTCAGGAAGGTAACTTAGCGTGCCCTGCCTGGGGTGACCAGCCCTGTGTACCAGAGGGGTGGTGCCCATCCCAAGGGTGCCTGCTCCTGCCCACCCCAGGGAGGTGGCCTGGAGGTACCCAGCCCCAGGAAGGAAAGGGACACCCAGTCCTGCCTGTCCTGGGGTGCTGGGTAGCAGTGGCCCTGAAAGCACCTATTCCAGGGGTGCCAGTTTGGGGGTCCCCATCCCAGGTTGGGGGGTTCCCAGGCCTGCCTGCCCAAGGGTGCCCAATCCTGAAGGGTACTAACACAAGTGGGTTGGGTGTGTGGGGGGGGTGACCTGGTGGTCTCTAGCCCTGCCCATCTGTGGGTGTCAGTTTGGGAGTGCCCCTACCAGGGTGTGGGGCTGAGAGACTGTATATCCCCCAAAGGGTTGGGGGCTCCCTGCCGAGCGAATGATGCTCTGCTTAGAGCAGGGTGGGTGGTTTGGGGATGCCAGTTTGGCCAGGGGCAGGCTGTGTGTGTGTGTGTGGTGGGGTGACAGGGGATCCAAGGGACAGCAGGTGCCAGTTTAGGGATGCCTGGGAGGATGCAAGTCCCTAGGGACGAGAGGTGCTGGGTGTTAGCGGTGCCAAAACCCAGCAGTTTGGGGAGGGCTGGAAGCTAGAGGTGGGGGCTGCATGGTGCCAATTTGGGGTACCCTAAATTGCAGCTAAGGGCAGAGGGAGCTGGTATGTCGGTGTGGGGGTGTCCGGGGTGGCCCAACTGGGAGGGGTACTAAGGGGGGGCACCAGTGTAGGGGTGCCGGTGTGGGGGTGCCC